GATTTTTGGGTCTCTCAAAATGCGATAGATAGTTTCCGGACTATCTAACATCTTTCGATACCCTGTGTGAAAATGGTGAATATGTGCCCTAGACTGTGCCATTCTGTGCCTTATACTAATACTCCACTAGTGTGTGGTAGAAGCAGTCCTTGAGGCAGAGACAAGGTTGGCCAAAACAGGAGGGACAAAAAAAAGCGGGCGTCGCATCTTATTCCGTGTCTGCTACAGACACGACATCTTCTTTGGGGTGACCTTTGGGATATGGTACCAGAGAGGACATCCGGAAAATGCCTCTCATGCAGTCGGATAACTGCATCTGGATTTGGGGATTGGGTCACAGCACCGTCTGTATACAAAAGGGCCGTGATGATCTCTTCCTGAAATTTTAGGAAGGATCCAATTCGTCCAGTTGCTTTGTAAAAAAAGCGTTATATATAGCCAATTGAAACAATTAGACATCTTTTTGTACCAGTGTTGAGCTTTGCAGGAAACTAGGTACAGATTCATCATTTGGTCATTGACGTCCACCCCTCCCATGTTAAGGTTATAGTCGTGGACACAGAGGGGTTTCTCAACAACGCCAGCTGACGAAAATTTGGTTGGTCGTGTCTGCATGAATGGAAGACAGGATGAAAACATCCCGTTTGTAATTCCACTGCACTGCAAGCAATGCATCATTTCTCAAGCAGGCTTTCTCCCCCTTTCTAAGTTGGGTTTTTACAAGCTGTTGAGGGAAGCCCCAGCTATTAGGACGCATGGTGGCACATGAGCCAATTCCAAGATTGTACAGATGTCTTAACAGCAGTTCACCAAAAGGTAGTGCGGCACTAGTACTGGCGCTCTGCTGCATATGAGACCTGTCATGCATTCCTAGCACTTCAGCTTCTTGGGGTCGGATATGCCTGATCTTAACAAGGACCTCTTCTCCATCATCTGAGCTACCTGTCAAGGTGTCACTGCTTTCTACAGGTTCATATTCTGAGGCGGATTCTGTCAGAGAGGCTTCCCCTTTGCTCACATCTGACATGCTCAGAATCCTGTAGGCCTCTTCACTAGTGTACCTTTTTTGGGACATTTTGAGCTCTAAATTTACAGGTTACTCACAAGAAAAAGAGCACCTGGCTGTTAGGGACTGCTTGAACCGCTACCAATAAAATTCACTTGCTAATGCTAGCAGAGATCAGGCCTAATTCTGTGGCTTTGTGTGCAATGTATCACAGGTGACAGTGATCAGAAATTACACTGACACTGCACTTCTTGTTAGGGGTGGGGTGAGGGGAAGCGTTGGGGCTAAATGTAAGTACTGGCAGTGAGCGGGGCTGATTCTGCTAACACTGCGTTTTTGGGGACATAATACTAAGGGGGCACTGGTATAGTTTTGTTCGTGATCAATATATTGATCCGTACAAACACTATACTAGTAATGACAGTGATCAAAAGGTTAAAATGTCTCTAGCTTAGGTGTGTGGGTGCAGCGTGCTGCTTTTACTCACATGTGGTGTCACTATCTTCTCTCCCTGTAACAAAATGGTTCCAGGGAGAGAAGATCTAGCGAGATCCAGTGCCTGTATTTACAAATACAGGCACAGCTCTGCTTCTCTAAGCGCTGTAGGAGTCCCAAAATCACTGCTGAGACCTGTTGACATGCATCTCCTACAGTGAATGACAGCGGGGGGGGGGGGGGGGGGGGGCACACGCATGTGCGCTCCAAACCAGGAAGCAAACAGCGATGGGTCCTGCTGCCCGTCTGCAGTACATTACGGGCGGATGGCCCCAAAGTGAATAGAAACAAAATTTGGTCTTTCATGTTAACTAGGAGATCATTTCTGGTTGCTTTGTGTTCCTGCACATTTCATGTTATAGTAACTGTTTGCAAAGATGTACTGAGGAATCCTATTTGGTTACAAATTATACTTTATTTTAAATCAATCATAATTGCTATTTCCTGCTGATTTAATGATTATGCAAGCATATGCATGCCAGTATGCGTTGTTTTTTCTTACATTTTTAGAAAGTTATGTGCTAGTTTTTCCTGTAGATGGTGGTATAATAAAGAGGATAAAATCATTGCAGAGAGGCTCTGTGTGTAAAAATCTAAAACAGAAAAACCTAAAAAAAAGATGAACTTGTCAAAAAAAAGCCTCCCTTCCCCAATGGAAGTGAATTAAAGCAATCGTCTTCATAAAGTGAACTCCTGAAATTAAAATGTAAAAATTTGTCAGCTACTTATGATTGAGCCACTTATACAATAGCTCTATAGATCTTAAAGAATGTACGCCTAATGTCCACGGACCCCTTAGGAGCCTGAGCCCAGGGACAAATAAATTCCATTGTAATGCCTACCTGCCCCCGCAGGAATGCCGATTAGCATTTTTTTTTGGGTTGGGGGTAGTGGATGGGGTAAAGGAAAAGGGGGCATTTATTTAAGGCCCTGTTCACATCTGTTTTAAAATCTCAAAATGCACTGCATTATGGGCAAAATACACCATGAGTGTTCAGGTGACATTCATTTTCAATGGTGCCTAATTGCGGTTCAGTTCTGCCATAATTGTTGCATAGTAAATCGCGCTGCAATTAGAGCAAACCGCATCATGCAAAGCTTGTTTCCAAAAAGGAGCAGGAGCTTTTTTTAGGTGACAAACTTCACACTGTGGTGCCATTGGTCAATTTTTATCTAGACACCTTTGTTTGGCTTTTGCTTCTAGGCCTGTTGGCGCTGCCTTCAAACATTGGCACATCTGGTCAATTTTTACCCACCCAAACCTTAGAGCATTTTTACAGCTAAAAAACTCCTCTTGAAACCTACTAGTTCTGGGTATTTTTTCCAGCCAGAAAACACTCCGGCTAAAAATTACAGCCTATGTGTGCATGAACACATAGGATAACATGCTGGGGAGTTTACTGGCTGTAGAAAACAAAACGCCAAAAGCCAAAAACAGCCGCTGTAAAAACATCCAGTGTGCATGAGGACTAACTGATACAGGTTTTTTAAAAATACATTTTCCTGTGGCTTGTTTCTCTATGCATATAAGAAGAGGACTGTACAACCCCAATTCCAAAGAAGTTTGGAAAGGGCCTAGCTTTCCATGGTGTAGCATCCCCTCTTCTTTTAACAACATTTTGTGAATGTCTGGGAACTGAGGAGACAAGTTGCTGGTATTTTGGGAGAGGAATGTTATCCCTTTCTTGTCTGAGCATATGCTGCTCTAAACCCTGGATATATTTTTCAGCATTGATAGTGCTTTTCCAGATGTGCAAGGTGCCCATTCCAATTTTCTGACCACAGAACAGTTTTCCACTTTGCAACAGACCATTTTAAATGAGTTTTGGCCTAGGTAAAACAACAGCATTACTGGATCATGTTCAGATATGGCTGGATAGAACTTTACCTAGCATTTTTGGACGGCAAAGTGTGTTCACAGACAGTGATTTTTGGAAGTATTCCTGAGCCCATGCAGTGATGTCCAACATACAATCATACCTGTTTTTAATTCAGCGCCGTCTGATAGCTCATAGATCACAGGCATCTAATATTGTGTTTCATCCTTGTCCCTTGGACAGAGATTTCTCCAGATTCTCTGAATGTTTTGATAATATTATGTACTGTAGGTGATGATATATTTAAAGTCTTTGCAATTTTACATTGAGGAATGTTATTCAGAAACTGTTCAATAATTTTTAGATGCAGCTTTTCACAGATTGGTGAACGTCTGCCCCTCTTTACTTCTGAAACACACTGACTCTCTAAGATTCTCTTTTTATACCCAGACATGTTACTGACCTCTTGCCAATTAACCTAGTTAGTTGCAAAATGTTCTTTCAGCTTTTCCTTGTTAGTATCACTTATGCAGGCCATAGATTGGGTGGAAAATCGGCCTAAAATTCGTCCGAAAGAATAATCGGAAGATTTTCGGATCGTTGGTGAATTTGTCGGCCGTTTTTCGTGATTTTGACACATTTTTTTTAATTGGTTATGTTGGGGAAAAAAACAGCCGATTTTGTCGATCGGCCAATTTTCACGGCAATGATGGGCAAATCGGCCGATCTTTTTACCGATTAAAAAAATGCGCATGAGCCGTGACCTGCAAGAAGGAAAAGAAGAAAAAGAAGAAGATGAAGACAAAGAAAAAGAAGAACATCTGTATCTATTTGTATCCATTTCTGATACAGATGTTTCTATTCGGATACAAAGAGATTCAATGTTGCACCCACAATACTTTTAAATGTCAAAAATAATAGTGGAATGTCCCTGCAGAGAGCTCTGCTATTATATTTGACATTTAAAAGTATTGCGGTTGCAACATTGTATCTATGTGTATCCGAATAGAAACATCTGTATCTGAAATGGATACAAATAGAAACAATGTTGCAACTTTGCTATACTTTTAAATGTCAAATATAATAGCGGAGCTCTCTGCAGGGACACTGCTATTATATTTGCTGGCCTTAGACGGGATGAAAATCAGCCGATTTTTTTTACCAATGGTGGTAATGTCGGCCGATTGAACGACCGATTTTTCATTTTTTAAAAAAAAAAATGTGTGAATACCCATGTGATCCGATTCTAGTGCAGACCAAAAAAAGGGTCCTGCACCTTTTTGGTGCGGATGTGGTGCCATTTGAGTTATACAACATGTATGGCTCCAATCGCACTGCACACAATTCGCATGTGATTTGCACAGGAATATGGTGCGATTCTTGTGCGAATCACATTAGATATACAGCACTGCACAAGTGTGAACCCATCCTTAAAGATGTAATTAAAAAAAAAAAAAACAGCTTTTGCTGCAAAACTCATCATCAAGCTGGAGCTGTCACTCACATTACTTCTTTTCTACCATAAGATTGTTGGTATAATTTAACCACCTCCCGCCCGCCATATAGTAATATGACGGATGCAAGGTGGTTCTCTTGTTCTGGGAGGATGTCATATGATGTCCCCATTCTAACTGCGCATGCGCTGCTCCAGGAGCGCGCAGCACGTTGATCGGCATTGCGCTGTGTCCTTCAGACACAGCGGATCACTGATCCACAGAAAGAGCCAAAGATGTCGGCTCGGTCATGTGATCAGCTGTGTCCAATCACAGCTGATCACATGTAAACAGGGAAATGCTGGTTATCGGCCGGTAATCGGCAGTCCTCGGAGGGGACATGTACACTGATCATCAGAGCACTGATGATCAGTGTGCCCTGATGATCTGTGTAGCTCAGCAGCGCCACCTGTCATTGTTCATCAGTGCCAGCTCTCAGTGCTCATCCATGCCATGCACATTTCAGCACCCATCAGTGCCACATCAATACCACATTTCAGCACCCATCAGTGCCACATCAATGCCACATTTCAGCACCCATCAGTGCCACATCAATGCCACATTTCAGCACCCATCAGTGCCACATCAATGCCACATTTCAGTGCCTATCTGAGCTGCCTTTCAGTGTCACCCATCAGTGCCAGTCAGTGCCACCTATCAATGCCAGTCAGTGCCACCTATCAGTGCTGCCAATCAGTGCCACCTATCAGCACCACCTATCAGCGCCATATATGAGTGCTGCCTTTCAGTGCCCATCAGTGATGCCTGTCACTGCCCATCAGTGCCTCCTCATCAGTGCCCATCTGTGCCACCTATCAGTGTCCATCAGTGCAGCCTATCAGTGCCCATGACTGCAGCCTCATTAGCACACATCAGTGAAGGAGAAAAAATCACTTATTTACAAAATTTTATAACAAAAACTAAGAATAAACTTTTTAAAAAAAAAATTTTCATTGGTTTTTGGTTTAAGAAAAAAAAAACCCAGAGGTGATTAAATACCACCAAAATAAAGCTCTATCTGTCACAAAAAAATGATAAAAATTTTCATATGGGTACAGTGTTCCATGATCGCACAATTGTCAAAGTGTGACAGTGCTGAAAGCTGGAAATTGGCCTGGGCAGGAAGGGGGTATAAGTGCCCTGTAGGCTAGTGGTTAAATGCCTTCCTCTGAGCCCAGTACAGAGCATTTAGAAGAAGCCAAACAGCGATTAACTCATTTCTCTGCTTTTTCCTCTTGTCAGAAAGTACCTTGTCAGCACATGAAGGGATTGGCTCCATGTACTGCTTTTCCCTTTCCCACTCTGAGCTTTATTGTGCCTATAGTTCATCTTTAGGGCTCATCTTGCATTTATCTGGCCACAGAAAACTAAAATCTAACTGGTTCCTGATGTACAGTCTGCAATGATGTCAATTTCAGAGGCTAGACGTCTTTTTTTAATAATTTCTTTTTAGCAATTCAAACTCACTTTGTTTTTTACTCAAATTCTACTCTGCAAGCAAAGAAGTAAATCCCAGAGGAGACAACATATATTTCCAAGCTACTTTCATGCTGCCTGTACCCCCAAACACAAATTCAATGATGACGGCTGCAAGCATGAACTATACAGAAGGATTTCATTTATTTTCCTCATGAAACATGAAAGGAGTCAGCAAAATCAGAGAAGGCACCTCAAGGCATTCTTTATCTTTGTATGCATCATTGCTTGTGAAGTGATATGGAGAACAGCAGCTAAGAAGCAAACCGTAAAAACGTTACGTATGGGTGCGTTCCTTAATTTTCTAATGTAAATATGTTTTCCATCTCTACGACAAGAGTAGACCCCCCCCCTTCCCACACTCAATTTGAAATGCTTATTTCCCCAGTGATAAGATAATCTGCCCATTTGTTTTTTTATTGCCGTCTTTGAAGCCATTCGTGTTTAAAAGAGAACTCTAGAAACAATTTTATTAAAATAAGAAATGCTTACCTGTGTTCGTTTCTGAAGGAACTGTTCCTAATATAAAATCATGTTTTATATGAATGCAGAATTTGCTTTGAAAACACTCGGGTGGATTGTAAATAGTACACAGAAAGATCAGTTTAAGCCCCGGGTCACATATATGCAAATTGGATGCGTTTTGAACCGCTTCCGATTCGCATGACATGTATACCAGAAGGCTTTTCTGTGGAGCTGATTCACATATGTGCAGGCCGGTCACAGTGTGATTTCCAATGTTATTCACTTTAAAGTGGTCGTAAAAGCTAAAGGTTTTTTTACCTTCATGCATTCTATGCATGAAGATAAATAACCTTCTGTGTGCAGCAGCTCCCCCAGCCCCTCAATACTTACCTGAGCCTCATCGCAATCCATGACAGTGAATGACAGCCTCGGCTGTCCCGGGTCTCTGGCTCCTCATTGGCTGACACAGAAAGTGGGAGCCATTGGCTCCCGCTGCTGTCAATCACAGACAGTCAGCCAATGAGGCGGGGAGGCAAGCCACGGCTCCCTGTGTGGGAGTCCACGTAGCAAGCTGCTTGCTGTGGGGGCACCTGACAGACAGGAGGAGCCAGGAGAGCCTGCTGGAGACCCGAGAAGAGCAGGATCCAGGCTGCTCTGTGCAAAACCACTGCACACAGTAGGTAAATATAGACATGTTTGTTATTTTATAAAAAAAATGAACCTTTAGAATTGCTTTAACAATTTTCACCTGAAATCGCTGAACGAAGCAGCACCGATGGGGCTTAAAGTTGCGCTGCAAACCGGGACCCGCAGGCTAAACCGAGCGCGAATAGAGGCACAGAGAGACAGTCTTTGCATAATTAGGTAATTGAAAGAGACCTGAAACCAGACCATTTATTTCAACAAAACTCTGTTCCTGTAAGCACATATGTGCATGTAAACTATTTAAATATTATTTATATGTCTATTGAGATATTATTTACATGCAAAAGCTTCATTTTGGGTAGACATTATTATTATTATTATACAGGATTTATATAGCGCCAACAGTTTGCTCAGTGCTTTACAATATAACAGGAGACAATACAGCAACAATACAGTTCAATACAGGAGGGCCCTGCTCCTTGGAGCTTACAATCTAAGAGATCCAAAAGCCCTAGGACTGCTGCTGGTAGCTGCCATATTGATGTGATGTCAGCAGCCCCATGAGATCCTTGGCTTTCTATCCAGCATCAATGAGCGGTGCTTCTTCTCCTCCACCATTAGATGGTGCTATGCATATAGAATGCATACTGTTTTGCGCAAACATCTTTAGTGCAAACAGCAAAAGATCTTGGAACAGAGATGCTTGGAATGCCATAATACACATTTTTTGCCCTCATGATTCCTGCAAGCCAGATTATGGTTATGGGTTTGCCAGGACAATTGATTTGCATATACAATGCTTGGTTAGAACTCTGGGAGTCACATTTTATTTTTTTCATTACATTGTTTGCCATTTTGCAGCATGGCCATGCTATCACACTTCTGGCTGAATCCAAAGATCTCCTCCAGGCTATTTCTTAAAACGCTAAGGGGAGACTGACCTAAAAGATAAAAATACCTTGTTCTTTTGTGTGCCACTTCTGAGGATTGCTGCAGACTGTTTATAGTTTTTGTATTCTATTATGTTTGTGAACTTTTCAGCAGAACGTCTTCAATCACCCATAAAGGCTGTCAGGCTCGCTGTACCTGGCGGTATTATTAAATATACATACTTGTCATCTATTCTCTGATATCCCAAGAAAAGCAAGGACCGCCATAGCCAAAGACGGAGCCTGTTTAATTTATGAACACTGTTTGTGCTTCTGTCATTCCTGAAAACTGACAGCTTATGCCGAGTCCCTCGAACATCTCCTACCCAGCTGCCTGCTCATTATTTAATACAGGCTGCAGACTTGCCAAGAGCTTGGTGACTAACAGTCCATCTGCTTCTCAAGTAGTTCCAAACCAGGAAGATTCAAGGAAGCGGATCTTTAAACATTTTTTTTTCCAATGTGAGCGAGCGCAATGTGCCTCTCTGCTTATTTATAAGTATAGGATTTAGGAACATTTGGATGGATAGCAAAAAAAGGGGAACATTTATAATGTGTAACTATGACATGTATGATGCAGTCTATCACTAGCAATAAAGTAGAACTCTGGCCTTCCATTATGTGCTGCATCACCTAATTATAAGTACATCAGCATTACAGTTTTCCCTTAATCCCCCTGCAAAGTCTTACAAATGTAAACAGATATCTCACAAATCAGGCTTTATTCACTCACTAGAGTAACAGATTCCACTTCTCTAGTAAGTGAATAAAGCCCGGTCCGTATGTTTTTTGACTGTACATATACTATAGTGTATGGTCTATATACTGTATATTTTGCTGTATGTATACTTACATGTGCAATTATTATTTTAGAGAAATGAACCTTGAAGTCCTCCTGAAGAAAGGGGCCTTGTCCTTGCACAATGTGTAGAGGCAGTCACAAAGTTAATGAGGAGCCCCCGATACCCTCTAAGGCATGTTTAAAGCGGAGTTACAGTTGAATAAAAATAAATAAAGGTCAGCAGCTACAAAAAACTGTAGCTGCTGACTTTGAAAATACAGCCACTTACCTGTCCCTTGCCTCAGTCCAGCTCTGTTCTCACCACAGCTGGTTTCACTGGCTGTCTTCTCTCCCCGCCACTGGCATCTCCAGTATGGTCACCCGGCTGTAACAGCTTGCGGCTTCACAGCCAGGTGCCCACTGCGCATTTGCGAGTAGTGCGGAGCTTTGTGAATGGTCCTGTAGTCTTCTGGGACCTGTCACGTTTCCTAGAAGACATTACGGGGAGGACAACTTCCACTTCTAAACTCTGTTAGACGATCACACCAGCAGTGGGAGCAGGTACATGTAAAATTGGGGGACCCTCGCCCTTCCCGCTCCCCAAAGGTGCTAATCCTTAACAGGGAGCGGGGCACAAAGATTTAAAGCAGAACTTCCCCTTTTGGGTGGAGCTCCTCTAAGTAACTGGGGAGATTTCTCTAAGAAAATAGTTTTTTTTAACTGCAATACATTTAAGTATTTTACACTAAAATTTGTTAATAAAAAAATTAGTAACAAAATATTTCAGTCTGTTGCCTGTGCGCACCAATAAAGCCCAGAGGGTCCGCTTTTCTCTCCTCTCACCGGTTTTCAGGGGTGAGATATCTGCTTACCAGGGGCGGACTGACCATTTGGAAACTTGGGCACTACCCGAGGGCCCGGGGTCAGTAGGGGGCCCCATGAGATGCCCCTGGTACCTTTTTCATAGGCTTTTTTGAGTTTGGGCAAGGACACAGGGGCTCCATGATCCCTATTGCCTGGGGGCCCCATGAGTTGTCAGTCCGCCCCTGCTGCTTATGTTAATACAAATTGGACGTGGTGAATTGTAACCAATCGCCTCTCTACTCAAATAGCTCAGCTAGAAAGTCCTATAAATACCTGTAAATCCTGTGTAAAAGAAATTTTAAACTCTGTATATACACATATTTCATTTTGTATGCTTTGTCTGTTGCAGACAACTCTTCTGACGGGCTCACATTCCTAAGACCCTGATGAGAAACTAGCATGCCAATGTACTGCTTTAGTATAATTTTAATATTAATAGGATACCTATGTAAGCATGTTTATAAAAAACAAACGCAAATGTGCCAAATAAAAAATTAGAAAAA